CTGGCGCGTGACGCGCCGCACTGGCCAATGGGGTGGCTCCGGGGGCGGTTCCAGGGGGGGAAAGCCCGGGTGCATCCGGGGCCTGACGCGTGACGCACCGCGCTGGCCAATGGGGCGGTTCCGGGGGCGGTTCCTGGGGAGAGCCCGGGTGCATCCGGGGCCTGACGCGTGAAGCGCGGCGCTGGCCAATCGGGAGGGTCCAGGGGCGGTTCCTGGGGCCGGGTGCACCCGGGAGCGGAGCCTGGGGCCGGGCTCGGGGCCGGGCCCAGGCCGCCAGACGCGCCGCGCTGGGCAATGGGGCGGGTTGTGGGGACGGTTCCTGGGAGGGGGCTAGTCCGGGGCGCGTGACGCGCGGCACTGGCCAATCGGGAGGCTTCTCGGTCGGTTCCTGGGGGGAGGGGTGTCCAGGGCGCGTGACGTGCCACGCTGGCCAATGGGGAGGCTTCTGGGGTGGTTCCTGGCGAGAGGGGGGTGTCCAGGGCGCGTGACGTGCCACGCTGGCCAATGGGCTGATGCGAGGCTCGTCCGGGGCGCGTGACGCGGGGCGCTGGCAAATGGGGCGGGTCCGGGCGCGGTTCCTGGTGGAGGCTCGTCCGGGCTCGTGACGCGACGCGCTGGCCAATGGGGCGAGTCCGGAGGCGGGTCTGGGGCGGGGCTAGGGCCCGGTTCGGGAGCGGGTCTGGGCGCCTGGTTCGGGGCGGTGTTGGTTCCTGGTCCGGGGGCCGAGCTGAGACCGCCTGGTTCGGGGACGGCGTTGGTTCCTGGGCCGGGGTCTGGGGCTAGGGCCTGGTTCGGTGTTTGCTCCTGGTCCGGGGGCGGAGCTAGGGTCTGGTTCCGGGCGAGTCCAGGGCCTCGTCAGGGGCCGGGGTTGGTTCCTTTTTATCGGGGGCGGGTCTTGGGCCTTGTTCCGAGGCGTGGTTGGTTCCTGACTTGGGGGCGTGTCCGGAGGCCTTGCCCGGGGGCGGGACCTGGGCCTTTTCTCGAGTTGTGGTTGGTTTTTGGCCCGGGGGCGTGTCCGGAGGCCTGGCCGGCGGCGGGACTTGGGCCTTGTCCTGAGTCGTGGTTGGTTCCTGGTCCAGGAGGCCTGGCTCGGGGGCGGGACTTGGGCCTTGTCCCGACTTGTGGTTGCTTACTGCCCAGGGGCGTGTCCGGAGGCCTGTCCCGGAGGCGGGACCTGGGCCTTTTCCCGAGTCGTGGTTGGTTCCTTGTTCGGGGGCGTGTCCTGAGGCCTGTCCCGGGGGCGGGACCTGGGCCTTTTCCCGAGTCGTGGCCTGGCCCGGGGGCGGGACCGGGGCCTGGTCCGGAGTCGTGGTTGGTTCTTGGCCTGGGGGCGTGTCCGGAGGCCTGGCCCGGGGGCGGGACCTGGGCCTTTTCCCGAGTCCTGGTTGGTTCCTGGCCCAGGGGCGTGTCCGGAGGCCTGGCCCGGGGGCGGGACCGGGGCCCGGTCCCGAGTCATGGTTGGCTGCTGGCCCGGGGGCGTGTCCGGGCGCGTGACGCGCGGCGCGGGCCAATGGGGCGCGCGCCCGGGGCCGAGCCTCCTGCGAGCCTTCGCGGCGCCCGCGGCGTCACGTGAGCGCGGGGACCGAGCGGCGGCGGCCGGGCTGCGCCGCAGCGACCCGCGAACGAGGTCCCCCGCCCCTCGGCCGCCGGCCGGGCTGTTTACCCCGTGGCCACCGCGGTGGCAGCAGCGGCGACCGCGGGAACAACATGTAATTGATAACGAGCCCGGGCAACCCGGCCAAGGGCTCCCCATTGGGTCCGCGCGGAGCCCGGGGGTGGGGGGAGGTGGGGACCGCCCTTCAAAATAAGAGTCCCCGGGGGCTGGCCCGCCCGCCCGGCTGCTGGAGCAGCCTGCAAAGTGTCGCCTCCCCCCCTCCCCCTGCAAGAGGCCAGCGCCACCTGGTCTTCAAGGTGGGGGTGGGTCGCGGGGGAGGGGGATAAAAGGTGGGGTGTCTCCTGGAGCATTTTAGGGGGTGGGGAGCCACGGGGACAGCGCCCCGAGTCCTCCTGGGCCCTCCGGGACTCGGGGTTCCTTGGGGAACCCCACGCTGGGGACTGGGGGGGGAACAGACGGGTCCTGGGGGTGGGGTGGGAGGGGTCCGCCGGCCACAACGGGTTGGGGAGCGCGCTGGGTGGCGGGAGGGGGCTGGGGGCGTCCGGTGGTGCCCGTGGATAACGGGGACCCGCGGTGGGCCGGGAAGGGGGCCGTGGGGACCCCCCGCCCCGCCCCCACCGACGGTGAGCCGACAGTGACCTCCTCCCCGCCAAAACAGACTGCCAGCCAGCAGGGAGCAGGACCGGGTGGACAGGGTTGGGACAGGCTGGGGGGACAGGACCGGGGACCAGGACCAGGGTAGCAGGACGGGGGGACCAGACGCAGGGGACCAGGACCGGGGAACAGGAACTGGGGACGGACTAGTGGACAGGACTGGGGGACAGGACTGTGGGACAAGAGCTGGGGAAACAGGACTGGGGACAGGACATGGGGGGGAAAGACGGGGGACCCAGGACCAGGACAGGACTGGAGCAGGACGAGGACAGGATGGGGGACCAGACTAGGGAACAGGACGAGGAGCCAGGACGGGGACCAGGTCAGGGGGACAGGATCAGGGGGACAGGACCCCAGGGGGAGCAGGACATGGGACAGGACTGGGGACAGGACTAGTGGGAACAGGACCGGGACAGGACCGGGGAAGCCAGGACTGGGGGACAGATGGGAAAAGACCGGGGGGACCCAGGACAGGGACCAGGACTGGGACAGGACTAGGGAACAGGACTGAGGACAGGACTGGGCCCCCAGGATCAGGGGAACAGGACTGGGGAACACGGCTTGGGGACAGACTAGTGGGACAGGACCCGGACAGGACCGGACCCAGGACTAGGGACAGGACTTGGGGGACAGGACCTGGGGACAGGACTGGAGGAAAGGACCAGCGGGGACAGGACTGAGGACAGGACTGGGACAGGACGCAGGGGACAGGACTGGGGACAGGACTTGGGGGCGGTTTACAGGACTAGGGGGGACAAGGACTGGGGGACAGGACTAGGGAACCAGGACTGGGACCAGGACCAGGGGATGGACCAGGGGGAACAGGACTTGGGGAACAGACTTGGGGGGACAGGACTGGGAGCAGGACTGGGACAGGATAGGGACAGACTGGGACAGGACGGGGATCAGGACTCAGGAGCAGGAACTGGGGGACAGGCCGAGGGACAGGACCGGGGACAGGACCGGTAGCAGGACTAGACAGGACGGGGGGAACAGGACTGGCAGACTCAGGGAGCAGGACTGGGACAGCGCCGAGGGCAGGAACCTGTGACAGGACCGGGGGAAGCAGACTATGGGACAGGACGGGGAGGGACAGACCTTGGGGACAAGGACTGGACAGGACTGGGGGACACGGACTGGGGGGACAGGGAATGGGGACAGACATAGGGGAAAGGACTGGGGGGAACCAGGT